GGCAGCAAACTCACAGTTATTAAGAACCACACCTAAAACAAAAGCAAACTAAGAGGACAGCTAGATCAGGAGCAGAACCATAGAAATGAAGATCACATGGAGGGTTAGCAACAGGGGAGTGGGAGAAGGTGAAGGGGGGAGAATGTACAGAGAATAAGTAGCATAGATGGTAGGTAGAAAATAGATAGGGGGAGGGCAAGAATAGTATGGGAAATATAGCATCTAAAGAACTTGAGACACGTGGTCATAAACTAAAGGGAGGGAACAGTGGGGGAGGAGGTGTGCAGGGTGGAGGGGAATGAATGGGGGAAATGGAACAACTGTAATGGCATAATCAATAAAATATATTTAAAATATTCTCTGTAAAAATAATAAAATATTAATGTTTATAATACTACACACACTATAACCTTAAAAAATGAACCATCTCAAAATGAATTTTTTTACTGCATTATCAAGGTGACATTCCTGTAACTTCTAAAAGTGATGAGAGCAACAAATACATACACACAAAACACAAAGAAGCACAAAAGACACCGACACACACAACACAGGCAGCTCTTACCTGCAATACACATGTTCTCAGGTATGTACATCATCCATCAGTATTGGGCACTTCAAGTCATCAGAGCTCTCATTTCAACCTGCATTTATAGCTCCCATGTTTCAAGCAAGGTCCTCTAGAATTTTGATAATCCTTTCTATCTGAAAGCAGAATGAATAAAAGACAACACGCTAATCATTTAAATGACTTCCAAAATAAATTACATGAAAATCAGTTTTCAAGTCATTGGTTTTTCACCCATATGGTAAACATCCAACTAAAGACAAAATGGATATTCAGAAAGTCACGGTAGGTGTAGAATTGATGGAAATAATTATAAATTGTGGCCAAATGAATTTATAAAGTACTGTGTATTAAAAGGTCAACAGATTGGTGTTTTCCTTTGCATCTTGAAAAACAGAGAGTAAAGAACTGACTGTGGCATATTGGACAGAGCCCGACATACAGACACTTCAGTTGGTAGGTGCCTGGGTTCTGACTGTCAGAGCTGTGACCGAGTGAGGGGAATGTATTCCTACAGTTTTGAGAAATACCCTTCAAAATCATTCAATTCCTTTTTCCCTGATGCTGCTTTCCTTGAATCATATTGTTATTTTTATGCATTTCTCAGATTTTTATGTCCTCATCTGAGGACATGCTTATTGGATTTAGAGAGAAGGGAAAGGAGGGGGAGACAGAGAGGAAGAGAAACATCCATTGGAGACAGAAACATTGATAGGTTGCCTCTCACATGCACCCCGACTTGGGACTAAACCTGCAGTCTTTGTATGTGCCTTGAGTGGGAACTCCATCCATGACCTTTTGGTTCATGGGATGATGCTCCAGCCAACTGAGCCACCTGGACAGGCCTTCTCACATTTCTGAAAAGAAAAGTGGGTCATTTAAATGGAAGACCAGAAACCATAAAAATCCTACAAGGAAACAGGCAGTAAAATCTTGGAATTTATTCTAGAAATATTTTTGTGGTATGTCTCTTCAGGAAAGTGAAACAAAAGAAAGACTAAACAAATGGAACTCCATCAAACTGAAAAGTGTTTGCAGAGCAAAAGGAACCTTTGACAAAACAATAAGACCACCCACTGAATGGGAGGCAAAATTCACCAAAGACATATCTAATAAGGTGTTAACACTGTCCAAAATCTATAAAGAACTCAGAAAGCTCACCAGCAATAAACAAGCACTCCAATTAAAAAATGGGTAAAGGACCTGAGTACACACTTCTCCAAAGAGGACCAACAGATGGCCAATAGACACACGAAAAGAAGCTCGATGTCACTAACTTTCAGAGAGATGCAAATGAAAACCACAGGGTAACTCACCCCACACCTGTCAGAAGGGCCACCATCAATACACAAACAACAAGTGCTGGTGAGGACGTGGAGAAAAGGGAACCCTCCTGCAGTGTTGGCGGGAATGCAGACTGGGAATGCAGCCACTGTGGAAAACAGTATAAAGTTTCCTAAAAAATTAAACATGGAACTGCCTTATGACCTAGCCAATTCACTTGTGCAAATATATTCAAAGAAGCCTACAATAATAATTTGAAAGAATATAAGGTCAGGCACAAATAGTATTACAACATTTTATTACAGAACCTCTTATCACAAAGTCATAAGCATGTAATTCTGTAAGATAACAATATCACAGTCACACACCATGTGACATTTTAGGTGAAAAGCTCAAATTAAAAGTACAGATTATGACATGCATATCATTACCTGACCAACCACACTTCTGCCAGACCCTGTATATGTACCCGATGTTCATTACAGTGTTGTTTACAATAGTGAAAAACTGGAAGCAACCCAAGTGTGCATCAGTAGATGAGGGGATAAAAAAGCCTCTGATACATCTACACCATGGAATACTACACAGCCACAAAAAAGAAGGAAAATTTTACTCTTTGTGACAACATGAATGGACCTGGGGAGCATTATGCTAAGTGAAGCCAGTCAGAGGAAGACAAATATCACAGGATCTCATTTACATGTGGAATCTAATGAACACAATAAACTAGCAAACAAAATAGAAACAGACTCATAGATACAGAGAACAGACTGACAGCTCTCGGAGGGAGGGGGTGGGGCCTGGGGGAGAAAGGTGAAGGGTCAACCTCCCCAGCATCCTCTCCCACCATGTCCCCTGCCCCCCTTGCCCACTCAGCTCTGTCACACTTGTCTTGTGCTGCTTGCTGCCACTGCAGTCATCCTCAGCTGAGTGGTTCAGAAGCTACAAGAATATTCCTAGGAAACATTTCCAGAACTTCAACAGGGGATTTAATCTTGCTCTGTTAGAAATGATCCTAACCCAAGAATAAATGGAAACATTGAGTAATGCTCAAAACCTTTACCTCTAGAACTAATTAAATATTTACTAATACACGTTCTTAATTTGAACTTTAAGATATTTTAGGATTTTTTAAACGGTTCCTGTTGCATCACACCTTTCCCTAACTTTCCCCCTCTGCTACTAAGTTATTTCACGAAAGAATTTAGAGTTTCTTTAACCTTTCATTGCATTCACCACACAACTGGTGAGGCACATTCATATGACTCTCAGGTATGTTCTGTATTAAAATTTCAGTTCACTTCAGAAGGTGTCCCAGAGGGTATGAGCTTAATTGTGTTGTTTCCAACTACCACACGGCGATAAGAAATCAAATATCTCAGTACATAAGCCAAATAAATGAGTTGATATAATTTTCTTACACTTAATTTCTTGTTCGTGTAATATTCTGTGGCTTGAGAAAATGAGAAATCACTTTTTAAAAAAAGAATGATAAAAATTCTAATAATTTAGTTGTTCCATTTCAACTTTAAAAGCTATGGTCTTCCATGGAATTTTATCCTATTTTTCAGAGATAGAATTTGAATGATTACTATCTGTATATGAAACTTCTACTTGGGAGAACTGTCTGAGTTTTCCCTTCACCTGGACCTGACCTGCAGCACCCTGTTAAAGGCACCCTTCACCTGAGCATTCCTCAGGCTGTAGATGAGGGGGTTCAGCATGGGGTTAAAGAGACTGTAAAATAAGGATAGAATTTTATTCTTCTCCCCTCGTTGACTAGAGTCAGGGAGCATGTAAACCACCATGGCACAGCCAAAGAAGAGCCCGACCACACAGAGGTGGGAGGAGCAGGTGGAGAAGGCCTTCCTGCGGCCCTCCCCAGACTGGATCTTCAGGATGGCCCAGAGGATGTGTGTGTAGGAGACCACCACCAAGCAGAGGGGCCCGACTAAGACCAAGACAGAAGTAGCAAAGATGACCACTTTGTTAAGCCAGGTGTCACCACAGGCCAGCTTGAGGATAGAAAGGAGCTCACAGAAGAGCTGGTTTACTTCCCGAGACCTGCAGAAAGGCAGCCTTAGAAGGAGGAGCACATGTATAAGAGCCTGGAAAAATCCACATGACCAGCACATGGTGGCCAGGACTGTGCACACAGTCCAGCTCATGATGACAGTGTAATGGAGGGGGTGGCAGATGGCCACATACCGATCATAGGACATGGCCACCAAAATCAGGCATTCTGTAGAAGCAAGATTCAAATACAAAAACGTCTGCATGATGCATGGGACAAAGGAGATGGCTCTTTTCTGGGTCACTAAGTTTGCCAGCATCTGGGGCACATTGTTAGAAGCATAGGAGATGTCAATGATGGCCAGGTGGCAGAGGAAGAAGTACATGGGGGTGTGTAGTCTCTGGTCCAGACAGATGAGTGCAAAGATCATGCCATTTGCCAACAGACTGAAGGTGTAGAGCAGGGAGAAGACCCAGAAGAGGAGAACTTCCGTCTCTGCGCTGAGCTGGAATCCCAGCAGCACAAACTCTGTGCCCAATGACCAGTTCCCCTTCATTCCTTACAGAGACCTGGTCAGGAACTGAAGTGTGAAAAAGGTCAGGGCTGGAGAATCAATACAAAGTGGAGTTAATTTCAACATGATCTCAGGGAAAGGTTGTAACCTTATCACTCCTTGGAAGCTTTTCCTTCTCCCCCAAACTGGTTACCTGTTGTTAACTTTCTTATGAAATAAATTTAAACTTACAGAAAACAGTCAAGAATTATTCAAAGAACTCCAATATAACCATATGCCCCAATTTAACAAATTGTAGTATTCATTTCATATTTGCATTGTAATTCTTTTTCTCTATATTATTTTATATGGGTATTGCTTATTTCTGAAGCACTTGAGATTACAGTATAAATAGACATGATACCCATTTACCCTTAAATTCCTTTTTTTCAGTCACAAATGAAGACATTCAGTAATCACAATGATCAAAATCAGGCAATTTGATTTGACATGATTCTTTAATCTATAATACTCTCTACTCCCCTCACACAGGACTCAATTTAAAATGACATGTAATATTGAAGGTCATTCATCTTTAGTCTCCTTTCTTCTGAAATAGTTACCTGTCTGCCTTTGCCCTTCATGATCACGAATCTTGGAAGACTGTAGAGAAGTTCTTCACTTCCATGTTCTCCAAATGGAACTGCATGCAGCTCCTCATTTTTTAATCAGATTATTCATTTTCTGCAGGGAAATTAAGCATCTTCCATTGTGCTCCATGGGCAGGTGCATGAAACTCATTGTTCCTTTGCTGGTGACGTTCACTCAGATCGCCTGGTGAACATGGGGCCTCCTGAGTATCTCTATTATAGAATCATTATCTTTTTCCCTAATGTAATTTCTGGAGCATCCATTAAAGTTACTATATAATATTCTCTTCCTCATAGAGCTTCTCAGCCACTAATTTCAGTGCCTGTTGATTATGTTGCCTGACTTGATTGTCAGCAGTGATTATTTTGAAACATGGTGTTCTTACTCCATCACTGCTGGTACATTGATTGGTTGTCAATTTCCTCATAAGGAAAGGCTCTATCATCTACCTACCTATCTATCAATGATCTATATATCTTAATACTGCTGCATCTATCATCTTTCTATCAGTATGGGCTCACAAATTTTGTAATCAAGGGATTATAATTATTTCTTTTTATTTATTCATTCTTACCTATTGGAGATCTAAATTCACCAAGCTTGCTCTTTTGTTTTCTAACACATCTCCATAGTTATTGAGCACTTCCTCACTTCTGATGGCTGTTTCACACTTTTCTCTTACATTCCCCACTTCAGCCATGGGCACAGACACTTCTCCAAAAGGGCCTGATTACTTTACGGAATAATCATATTTGTAAACCAGTATCTTAAACTCAATAATTTATACTTTTATCATAATTTGTGCCATATTTCTGATGTCCTCTTTTAAAACATCAAGCATAAAATTTGCCAAGGAATACAAATTGTTCCTGGGATAACACATTTACATGTTTCTGAATGTTGAAAACAGCTTAACTGACTTCCCTATTTCACAAATTAGCATTAGCATTGAAGAAAATGGTCTTCACATTATTTAGTAGCTTGTTTGTAGGCAAAATATATATTTGTAACTCACACCTCTGTAATTATCAAATTTATATTATTCTCTTGTTTTATTCCTATTTAGGAAATCACAAAATCAAAGATTTTAAAGATTAAAGTTTAAGACTATGGGTCATTGAGTGACTACGGTGGTTCTTACCTTGTATGAGAGCATTTGACAACAAGTTTCAAAACATTCATAAAAAGACATTATGAAGCTCTATTTATAATGAAGACTAAACAGGTAATACCCTAAAAAACACAAATAAGCATTATTAATAATGAGTATATACAATTATACCATTTTGCTGTACATTTTTATAGGTATCATGAATTTAAATATATATATCAACCAATGTTTCTGGTTTACCTATTTCTTTCATTTAGAAACATATCAGAAACTATTTCTCATGTCAAAATATTTCTATGCAACATGCTGTGAACAGCTGCACACTACTTCCTTGAGTATAAGTATTTTATTTGGCCTATCATTAGGTTTATGCAATACAATGCTTCAGTGAGAAAATTTAAAACTCATGAATCCTTCCAGTAAATACTGAGATTTGAAAGTACTCATTGAACTCAGTCACACAGTTTATGTATCTGGGTTCAGCTATTGCTCTGTCTCTAGTCATCTAAAGATCAAACAACAAAATCCCAGCAGCACGGAGACTCAGCTCTGTCAGAAACCGCCCAGTGGGAAGGGTGTCTAACTGCACAGTCCTGACTCCCTTACCCCTGAATTCACCTCTGCTGTGCTATAGTCCTGCTTGGGGGGCTGCTCCGACCACGCTGGCAGCCAGGGGGCACTGGTTCTCCCCTCACACTCAGGTGACAGCCTGCTGGTCTTCACCTTCCTGCAGTTCACTCTTCTCTCAGGTGGATGGTAAATGCTCCAAGAGCTTAGAACAACCTGACTTCCAATGTCTGCAGCTATTTGGTCACCAGGCTGAAAATCCCCCTTATTCTTATTTGACCTGAGCTATTCACCCTCTTATTTGAAGGAACTGACACATTCTATGTGACATTATTTCATATCCTACCTCCTCCACCCGAGGTTCCACATGGTACATGGGAAAGAATCGACCCCAACAACACATTTGGATTTCCTCTTAGACGTCTTTACATCTACATCATGAACAACAAGAGACACAGATTTCTCATTAGTGTCTCATCTAGTGTTTTCTTCTCAATCTCAGGTTCTGCCTAGAGGAGAACCCCTGTTTTCTAGGTGAATGGCACCTGTAATTACATGACCCTTCACTGTGTCTGAACAGAGGAGAAGGCTCCTACCTGTGCAGGAATTACAAGTTAAACAATTCCTTTAACACATGACCATCACTTAACCCCTCTGCACCACACAGGCCTTACAGTGAGGATTCAGGGGAACAGACAGTGTGTTCCCAAGTAACTACGAGTTTTATCTGTAAGACCATGGATATAATTTTAGTTTGCACATTTTGTAAGGCTTATGAGCATTCTCAGACTGGTGCACACTCAAGTGAGTGTGCAAATGGGTCAAACACACCCATGTGCTGACACACTGGGCCGACCACTGCCCTCACTATTTTACCCCAATGGGTGTTGCAGGCACCACACCTTCCTCATCTGAACCATGACATCGTAGGTATAGCCAGTTACATGAGATGGAAAGGTGGCCGCCTGCTTGATCATCTCTGGGCCCCATGGAAGGGCTGGCTGTCAGACAGCCTGAAAACAGGGTCTTTCCACCCTTGGCAGTTAGGCTAGGTTCTTATGGGGGGCTCTTCAGATACAATATAAATGTACAGGCTTGGCCAATAACAACAGTTATAACAGTTAAATCCTCACTATAAAAGTATATGGGTAAACTTCAGGACATATCAAAGATAAAGGGAAATTCGGGTCAAATGTCACATATTTAAGCTGAGATGCACTCCCACCAAATAATGAACTTTTTATATTTATATGTCTTATATATCTTTATGTCTCATAACAATTAGTATAGTTCTAGATGAAACAGACACTGAGGAAATGTTTGTTAAATACATGATTGTCATTTTTAGTTAAAAAGTGTGTGTATGTTAAGCATTTTCAGTTCACCAGGATCTATTGACCAAGACTCGGTTTCTGCTTTATTAAAAAAGTACAGTGAGAATTTGATCCCTCGAAGAAACCGACATAATCCTAGATTTTCACTTACAAAAATAAGAGAAATTTGGGAAGGTTCTTTGTAAATATGCATTAAGTTTGTGACATTAATTTTTCCACAATTAAAGATACTGCTGTGTTATGGAAAGTGAGAGAAGCCACATCAGTATTGCCAAATGATACTCAATACAGTTGGACACAGTAGGTAATGTTGGAAACATATTTCATCTCTGAACGTGAAGAATAATAATTTTGTTGAATGTAACTCAATGTATTATTAATCAGTAGGAACATTTGTTTACTAACTTTTTAGTTTTGTGTCTCCATAAATGTATTAATGTTTTTAGATGTACTTATCATTGTGCTATTATTTCCATTACTGTAGTATCATTTTGCTATTGAAAAGTAAGCAACATGAAAATAAAATAGGAGACACATTAAATCTCTTAAGCAGGCACACACTGGAACAGAGCAGAAAACATCACGGTGAGAATAAAACACTAGTGACCCACATACAAAGGTTCGCGAGGTCGGCACAAGCAGCTCTTCACCTGGGTGGTCCTGTGACTCCGAGTTTCTTCAGCTCTGGAGCTGTGTCCCACTTCCCCAGCTCTGCCCAGGAGTCTCCCACTCATTGTGCCCTATTGGACGATAGTGGATATATTTACATCACACACTGTGATTTCCAATCTGACAACCATCACCATGAGCTGATCACCTGGGATAGTCAGGAAAGGAGTAACTTTATGGTTAACTTACATTTTAAATGGTTTCAGCAAAGAAATGATTTACTGTCATGCTTGCTGGAAGATTCTCTCCCAGGGAGAGAACTTGCCCTGGATGTCACCCTCTTCATTCAGACTAGGAAACACAGACCACCTCTAATCTGGCTCCTGGAATCCTTACTCAGAGCCAATGCCTGGCTACACAGCCCTGGCTGAGACAGCCTGCTGGCTCTGACCACCACTATGCAGGCACATTGGGAGGGGAGTGTGAGATACTCTGAGGGTGGTCAGGGCCCGGCACACAGCACAGGAGGCAGACAGTCCCTGAGGTGGGGAAGGAAGAAATCCAGGTGCCAGTTCCACTGACCTTCATTTCCTGGTTGGAGTCAGGAGGAAAGACCACCCAGCAATGCCAGTCTCGTGCACACAGCCACGGTGGTGTCGGCTGCTCTCCTGTGATTTCCAATCATACTACAGTAATGGGGGTGATACTACAGTTAGTTGGGGGTGTCTTCCCCCAACTAACTCACACTGAACATGACCTTCCAGCACAAATCAGTCTCTTCTGTGGGATTTTTTCATGAGCACCTACTCTGACCTGGAATAAACCCCACGGAGGAGAGAGATGCACCAGTGAACAGGGGCAGCACCCTGCCCTCTGCAGCTTCTGCAGGTGGAGACCCGGACACTGGAGGGGCCGCAGGTCATGCTGTGGGTCCTTCAGAGAAGCCCAGGGACACAGCTTCCATTGGAGAGTCAGAGGAACTAAAAACATTTTATAGTTTCAACTGAGAGTTCAGATCCCCACAAGGACCATAAGATATTCTCGCTAGTTCTCTTCTCCCTACAGGAAAAGAAAAACATTCTGAATTCCCTCTGGGGAGGAGAGTGAAGATCAAGTCTGACTGTCCCTGGGGGAAGAGCACTGGGGACCAGGCAGGGCGGCTGTTAGTGCTGTGCTGTTTCTACATGAACTTTCAGGAATCTCAGGGGCTTTAACCCTGAGACAGACACCACGAATGATGGCAGCCACGCTCTTGAAATAATTAGCATTATGAATGCCTGCTTCTCTACATGTTTTAGAGGGTGGGATTCTGTGGAACCTGTTGGGGTGACCCTGAGAGGGAACAGGCCCCACAAGGCAGGGCGGGTCCCTGTCTGCACTCAGGGACCATAGGTACAAATGAGGAAGGATTAGAACATCCAGGTGCAATAACTACTGAGTCCCTCTTATGTTTCAGAAAATGCGCCAAATACCTTACAGTGACCACACAGTTCAGTCTGATCATCATTTTCACTCTACAGATGTGGAGCTCAAAGTCTGAACACACTGTCTTGAGTCCTCTGAGTGTGACCCGGGGACCACAGGGAATCTCTGAGAACCTTTCCAAGGCTCTACCGGGTATGAACTGTTTTCACAACAATGCTCAGACACTTTGCCTTCTTCATCCTCACTCTCTCGAGAGTGCACAGGGGGGCTTTCTGGAGGCAACATGACATTTGATGAGGCAGCAGACAGAACACAGAAGATGTCAAGCCAACTGTTCTCCGCTCAACCAACTAAAGGATTTTCAGAACTTTAAAACACAGCTACTCTTTTCGCTATTGTCATGTTCTACACAACACAGTTTTCATCAAAATACATACTTTATGTTAACATATAGTGGCAATCATTCAGAATGAATCAAAAGCATATATTTCATAAGCTGTCACTTTTCATTTCTATGTGACACACACACCAACACACATAAACACATAAATAGAGTGTCTTTGGGGCCTTAGTGATTTTTCAGAGTTCAAGGGGGTCCTGCATGGAGTGACAGATGACCAGTCTGGGAAGGGCCAGAGCTGGAAGCAGGTGAGTCCTACCAGACGTCAACTGTGTTTCAGTTTCCTGTCCCTGCAGCAGATGAGCACAAACGTGTGAACGGCTTTCTACCAGCACCATGTGTCCTACTGTCTCTCGGTTCCAAAGGGCAGAGACCCGGTGGGCTCAGCTGCATTCTCGGTGTAGGACTTGCAGGTGGAGACCAAGTTTCAGGCCAGGTGTGCACCCCCATCTGTGGCCCTGCCTGTGGCCCCTCCACCTTCACTCTTCACTTCCCCCTCTGACTTCCTCCTCTTCCAGGGGTCAGGGGGACGTCTGCTCTGAAGAGGACCCCCTGACTGGGTTCAGCCCACCAGCCCACCCTCCCTGGTTTAGAATCGGTGGGAAACATCTTTTTTGAGCATTCCCAGAGCAGAGCTGGACTAGTTGACCAGGGAGCGGGTAACTTGGGAGGCCTTCTTCAGAATCCCGCCTGTCCGCGGAGTCTTTTCTTACCGGCTGTGCCCTGTCCCCAGTCCTTACATTGTGCATTGGTCCTCAGGGAGATGCCCACATCCCCACTGTCTTTGTTATCAGTGCACCTGCCTCCAGAACTCCCTTCCCAAATTTTCCCAGCAACTCTGAATCCCACCTCAGAACACAATTTCCATTCCTGTACCTCACTCTCAGGACAGGATTCCAATGTTTCAAGTGTCTTTTCATTTTCAATTTACATAAACTTACCTGAATGAGCAGTGTGTTGCACAGTCCCCCACCAGGCTGTAGAACTTTTCCAGCAAAATGTACGTCACTCCTGAGCATCTGGGTTTAAGGGGCATGTACACAACAGATGCAGTCACAGCTTATTTAGTATAAGGAACACGGCTCCAGCGTGGCTCTGTCCCACACCTTAAGGCCCTGGGATAACTCGGAGTGACAGGTGCATCCTGTGTAAAGCCATGACATACATTTCCATAGTTATGTGCTGACTTGAATGGTACCTGCTCCCCTTTGAGCTGTGTTATTCCTACCTGGTAATAACCTCTGCAGAAGTCTCAGGCACAGAAATGAGCAGATAGATAAATCACCACCTTCCTCGGGCTACATTCACCCCTTGTGCTACATTCTGAGGTGGTCTTAACTCGAACTTCCGATACTTTTGTCCTTCCAGATTGGTATTCCAAATGACTTACTTACGTGAGGCAGTTGGATCTTCCTAACCTGCTCATTCCAGGGAAGAGATCTTTTTCTACAGACTGTTCCTCCTCATCCAAAGGAAACTCAGCTTGTCCTGTGATGCCATGAGAGCCACCTGTCTCTCCCAAAGCCCTTTTGTTCTGTTTATGGGGATAATCCACCATGCTTGTTATTTCCATTGTATATCAATGGCATGAGTGCAGTTGCAAGGTTTGTTTTGTTACCCCACAAAAGATGGGTCCCCCATATTATTGCTAGAGAAGTGGTAGTCCTCCCTCAGTGTGACTTAGTCTGGGTGTACCACAAGGCCTCTTAGAAACTGCCTCCTGCACACAGGGCCCCTTCCCAGGAAGTTGGTACCTACCCTGTGAAGTCTATGTTTTCTTCCCATGTAACCCATTGTCTTCTTCTCTTCTATTCAATAACCTTCCACCCACAAAAATAAATATGTACCTGTGCCCAGCTCCCCAGGTGGTAGCTTTGTTCCATTAAAGCAGGGACGTTTCTTAGCATGTGATCATCAAGGTGCACAGTTACACCTTTGTCAGCCAGCCGAGAATTGAACAACACACAGTCCATTGTCCATGTGGATAATGGTTCCTGGAAGACTCTTCCCAAAAGAGAGCTGGTGAGTAGAAGCAAGCTAAAAAATAGGAGTTGAAAGTTACTGCGACCTAGCCAGAATTCCATCCAGTCACCAACAACTGATCCAGTTTATCATCCTGTCATGTGACCAAAATGTGTCCCTGCAAAGGCCACTCAGAACTGCATGCTTCCATTTGACCTTGTCAGCTTCCAAATGCAAGGTCGTTTGAGCAAACCTGTGACATCACCACTTTGTGCGTCTGGCATAACTGAGCTAAGAGACAGTACCATTCTGCAGGTGGGAGCCTTTCTGAGGCTCTGATGTAATGTTAGATTTCCTTACCTCCCTTTGTTTACCCTGAGCTACTCCTCTTCCTCCTTCCCACTTATCCCTGATTTTCACTCAGATTCTGTCCTTTGGAAGAGATATTAGACTGAGCCTGTGCTGTTACAGCTGGCAGTTGAGCAGGTGTCCTGATTTGCAGAGGGTGGGGTCACACAGGGGCAGGACTGATGGGCCACCTCAACCACCAGGCAACACAGCTGAGTCAATGGCACCCCAGTGTTGCAGGATGGGGTGAAAACAAAGTCAAACCAGGAGACATCAGGAATTCTGGCACAAATGTTTTCGGGTAGAGCTATAGTGTCTTGCTTAGGGATTAGCCCTGCTTCTGGGGCAGGGAAACAGGAAGTTGGGATAATGAGATGGAGAACTGCACAATGGTACCAGCATCTCTCACACCCCTTCCCTCAAGTATCTCCAGAAAAGTGGAGGCATCATGAGTATTCTACAGTATTAGAGAGACTTCCATACAACACGCTGAGTACAAGGACACTGAGGAACTACAACAGTAAACACAGAGCTCTCAGATGAACAAGCAAAACTACATGAAGCTGCCATCCCTAGGGAACAAGGGCACACAGCAGAGGCTGGGTGATTAGAATCCAGAAGGTCAGAGGAGTTGGGGTTCAGACTTGACCTTATGAGTAGATGGGGAGCCCCAGTGGCACTGTGGCCCCATCAGGGAATGATGAGCCTGGCTCTGGAAAGCTGAGTAACTAAGGCTGGGCAGGGGGCCTTCACTGCCACCACCAAGAGCTGTTGGGCAAGGCTGACAAGAGCAGTGGACAGACAGGAAGGAGCAAGGTCCTTTTTCCTGCTCCAGTCTCCCAATCTGTTTAGAGATTGCTACCGACGCAACATAACCAATTGGAAGCCACTAAAAGAAGTAATCTGCCCTGGGTGGTATTGCTCAGTAGGTTGGAGTGTCAGCCTATAAATTGAAAGTTTGGGGGTTGCAGACAATATAGAGCTGGGTTATGCGTTTGGTCCCAGTTGGCACACATA